AGATTGAACCTAGGGGCACTCTACCACTGAGCTACTTCTTACTTCTCTAGGCCTATTTATTTATTTATTTGTGTGTTTTTAATTTTTCTTTTTTTGTATCTTTGTATCCCCTCCTTTTTTAGAATTGCAAATGTTTATTTCTGTGAAATTACCTTTATCACAAATTTAAAATCTGGAGAGTCCCTCCCTTCAAAGACTTCATAAATACAAATAGAGTACCAAGTTTTAAAAGGTCAATTGAAAAGGTCAAAGGGGTCAGAGATGATCCCCACTGGTCCAACACCTAAGGACCAATCAAATCTTCAAGCAGCAAGGCTTGGTAAGATCACTTCATGGCCCTGGTTTTATAGTTTAAATGCCAAGGGACAACTGCCCCTAGAAGTCTTCCTGGGTATCCCATTTCACCTGACAGTGGTGACATCTGCCCTGCTCCTTCTTGGTGTTTAAAGCAAAGATCTTTCTTTCTTACTATAAAGCTCATTGGCACCATTCTTGGAACAAAGCGTGTTACAGGGAGGTAGACAGGAGGAAAATATAAATACCAGGAATTATATAGGATTGCAGTTTCAATGAAAATACCTGATAGTTGTTCATGGACCCTAATGCCACCTGAAGTTAGCAGGTACATGAAATCAAAGAACTCAGGCAGTATGTTGGAGACAGGGCAGCCATCACCCAAAGTAAGCTCATGGGGCTGGATTTGCAGGTCATCCACCAGAGGGGATAAACATGAGTCAACTGGAAAAGTAGGAAGAACCCTCCTAACACACCTAAGCTCCTCATTATTGCTTCAGACCTCAGCCAGAGGGATCACTGGAAACAGAAATTCCTCTTTTTCTGACTGTTTTTAAATTTTATTTCTTGGGCCTTTTTATTTTTTATTTGGAGACATGGTCTTGCCAAGTTGCTCAAGGTACGCTTAAACTTTCAGTTCTGCTTTAGCCTCCCAGAGTGCAGGTGTGTGCCATCACCCCTGGCTTTAATTTTCTCTCTTTCTTTTTATTTCTCCCTTTCTGCTATTGCAGTTGAGATAGAGACGCAGTCCCTGACACCTGGGAGCTGCTCTGGTACTGCACACTGGTGACGCTGTTATGGACGGAATTGGCAAGTAACACACAGAGAGGCAGCAGAATGGAAGTAAAATAAAAAAGTTTATTCCATCAATGGGGATGATGACACCTAATGCGGTGCCCTGATTGACTCCCCCATTGGGTTCCAACTCCTTCTTTTATAGCGTTTTACATCTTTGATCTTACTCAGTTGGTTACACTGCATTTTCACAGCTCACATTGCTGATACCCAAAATGTGATAGCAAGGCAGTTGAATTTCAGCCTGGATGGATGCAGTTCTTTGTCAGGGAAGTTACCTTTAAGATTTATTCAGTTACCTATTCTAGCCAGGAGTAAGGGAGCTTGTTTGGTCAACAAAGCTAACAATGGTTCTTTTTCACTTACAAATTTTTGTGAGAGACTAGGTGCCTTTGGTGGCCCTTAATTCTGAACTAAGCAGAGTGAAGGGCAGAAGTTATCTTATATTGTGATATTTCCTAAGTTTTCGCTATTAAAGTTTTCTCTAGCAATATTACTCCCATCTGTACTTGATGTTACTCTGAGCTGGCCTGGAACTAACCATTAGGCCTTGACATTTCCTCCTGTGAATAACTTCACAGAATGCCCATACCAAATAAGTTGCTCTGAGACTGTGCTGGGTGAAGACAAAACACTAAGCCTGAAGGTGTAGCTTAGTGATGGGGTGCTTGCCTCACGTGCCTGAGGTCAAACCTCCCTCAGAATTTCAAAATCAAGACCCAAATGAAAGCAAACAAACAAACAAAAACCTCATTAACACTCCTTGGCTGTTCAAGAACGCTAAGAAAACATGAACACATTCCAAAACTACAAAAAATGACCATGTAGCTCCCTATCAAGGACCTATCAGTATAAGTGACTACTGCATCTTCCCTAATTATGGCTCTGATCTTAGTCTAGTTGTCTCTACATCTAGATAAGGCTTATTAATATAAAAAACCATACAATTATCTCTGCTTCCCCATGCATCTAATACTACTTCAAATACAGGTGTGTTTCTGATGCTCATTAGCTGGAGGACATTGTAACCTCATTTTAGTCCTGACTCATTAACTACATACATCATACCTCAAAAAATGCTCCCTGTTAAAACTATTGTATAAATGCTGAAAGTGAAAGAAATATTAACCCCTCATTCCATTATTTCCTAAGTTTTACTTCTATTTCAATTCAAATTATCACAAAGTAGCCAGGCATGGTGGCGCACACCTGTAATCCCATCACTTAGAAAGCTGAGGCAGGAGGATTGCTGTGAGTTTGAGACCAGCCTGGACTACATAGTGAATTCCAGGTCTTATTGTAAAGCAAAATGTTGGAAATTTAGTCCCACAAGTTCCTTCAGAAATATATATATATATTTTTCTTGTAATCCCAGATACTCAGGAGACTGAAGCAAGAGGATCAAAAGTTTGAGGCCAGCTTGGGCAATTTAGCAAGACTTCCAAAAAGGAAAAAGAAAGAAGCAAAGAAAAATAAAGAATACTCTCATCATCTATCACCTTACATTGTTTTAAAACTTTCTTAAGGGTCAATATAAAAAGTCATGGGGAGGGGTAGCATACCACTGTATTTTCTGTGACATGCCTGCATGAATATGTAGAGCCCAAACTTACTCCATGTTTTAAAAGTTACTCCATTATGTGATCAGGTCACCACCCAGCTACTGGAAAAACCTCAAAGCGCCCTTTGGACCAAATTACACGCCCATGCTAAATGACAAAGGGCCTAGGAGACAGTGCTGTAACCCCCTTCCATTGTAGCCATAGCCCCGACCTTTGTTCTAACCCTGGCCTAGGAATGTAAGGCAATCCTGTACTGTTTGAAGTCCGGAACCTGATTAACCTGTAAGTTAATGGTTCTAGACTATAAAATACATAGAGACCCCAAGTTAATTATCTAATTCTTTGCTCATCTGGAGGGTCTTGATGACCTTTGAAACACCCTATAGGTACTTCTTAATTATCAAGGTGTGACTGCCGAGTATGTGATTGCTGACCACCAACTCAAGTCAGCAGACCTTTGTCCCCTGCCTGCATTTTCAAAATGCTAACCCATCAGGCACTGACCCATCTGGAAAGCAGCTAGTTCTGCTCCTTTGCTGATAAAAAGCCTGTTTGAAACCGGATTCGGGGCTCTTGGTACGAAACCGCTACTGATAGGGAATTGTGACGCTTAACAACTAGGCCACACACACACCGAGAGGTCCGACTGCAGATTTTATTCAAGGGGTGGGAGGAGAGGGAGAGAGCAGAGAGAAAGAGCAGAGAGAGAACAGAGAGAGCAGAGAGAGGAGGAAGAAGCAGAAGGAGAGAACAAAGAAAGGAAGGTTCTTTTATCAGTTTTGGGCTGGGCTATTGCTTATTTATGAGGAGTGGGCTACCTTTAGCCTATCACAGGCCAGGTTGCCCTTTATGGGTTTGGTCCTGGAGAAACAGGTTTAACCTCTCCAGACGGCTGTGGCCTTGTGGGGGTAAGGGAATCTAGAGCTAAGAGCATGAGGTCTTTTAAGAGCAAAGAAGCACCAGGCGAATGCAGCCTGTGCTGGCGGCATCACAAAATACTTTAACATAATCAATTCCCTAACAGCTACGTTGGTGAGGTCTGGGAGTCCAGGCTCTAGCTTGCAATAAACTCCTCATGTGATTGCATTGGACTCGACTCCTTGGTGGTCTTTGGGTATAGCGTGATCTGGGCACAACAGAATACATAGAAGTATTTCATAAGAGAGCACCAGGAAAATGTGGCCTCTCTGAGGTAGCTGGCCTCCAACAAACTGTGCTTCCCAATGTCGGGACCCTTGGCCCTAGCATAGTTACTCTCACAATGAATCCTGTTGGCCCGTGACTTGTGTTAATAAATAGAATGTGGGAAAAGTGATGCTGAGGAAATTCCAGGCCAACTTTTTTTTTTTTTTTTTTTGTACTGAGGATCGAACTCAGGTCTTTGATCGGCAGGCAGCGAAACCACTGAGCTAAATCAGTGGCCCTCCAGGCCTACTCTTTAAGGAGTTTGGCAGCTTCCACTTCTACTTTTATAGAATGCTCACTTTGGGAGCTCTGAGCCCCTGTTCAGTTAACCTGCTCAAGAAGGGACACCATCAGACCACACAGACAGGCTCCATGGAGCAGGGCAGACTCTGATGGAGAAGGCCCTGCCCTCCCAGCACCCAGCTGAGAATCTGCCTAGCTGCCTGCCAAAGTGCTAGACTTTTGAAAAATCTGGATCCTCTCCAACCTACTTTAGCTCCAAGATTATTCAGTCAGCTGAGCCCAGACAATAAAGTAATAATAAAGTGTTAAAGCTATTGATTTTTGTTTGTTTTGTTTTGATGATAGTGTTTTTATTCAAGTCTCACTACAAACGTGGCAGAACAGATGCGGCAGCAGGATGTGGTCCTCTCCTATGGGCCTGCCAAGGCTTTTACCCTGTGACATGGGCATGTGTGCTAGGGCAAAAGGCAGTGGGAGGGCTCTGCACATGAGCCATGGCCTAAGGACAGGAGGCTGGGCTTCGCTAATGCTGTCCACTCTGATGTGCCGGCTGCCTTCCTACTGTCAGTCATCTGCCCTGGCCACAGTCAAGGTTCTCAATTTCCTCCCATCTGACTGGCCGAGAAGATAGTGACTAAGAGATGATGAAGGGCTACTCTGGAAGTGGTTAGAGCAACTTACCCCAGTGTTCCTGGGAGGTGGACCCTGGCCAGTTTCCCAATGGCTCCTGGATCCCAGGGTCTCTAATAAATGAGGCTGTGGTGGGCATCCAGAGGACAGTTTAGGACTTGGATTCTTGTTTTTCCTTGGTTCTTGGAACTGAACTCAGGACCTTACGCTTATGAGGCAGGCCTGGAGCCATTGAGCTATTGCTGTTTTTTTTTTTTAATTAAAAATTTTTAAATTTTATTTTTAGGGCTTTGTTCCTGATAAACCAGAAGCTCAGGGAAGTTATCCTTAGGAAGCTTAGGTATGTTCTGTGGGGCCAGAGTCATCAGCATGGGAGTGGACAGGAGCCAGTGCCAGGCTCACAGGAAGCCAGAAGAGAGTCCAAAAGGCCATCAGTGAGGTCCATTGTCGAGGTCCAGTCTCCAGTAAGCTTCACACAGAGGCAAGTCATTAGCTTTGCAAAAGCTTGAGCTTTTCTATCACCAGAAATGCTGGGGAAGGACAGGAGCTGCTAAAGAGGAAAGCTGGGGAGGGAGAAGCAAGACAGAAGCAGAGCTAAAACATGACCACTGCCCAAGCTGCCTTTCCTTCCGCTAGTCTGCACTGTCGCCTCCACCAAGCAGGTCTGTCTGAGGGACAGGACCATGGGGGCTTCGCTTGAGCCTGAGAGGAGGAAGCCATCAAAGGGCAGTGTGACCTTGGCTTTGCCTCCCTTCCCACTGAGCTGGTGTGACTTCTCCTTGGACCTCTCTTTGTTCCTGCTGGGTTCCCTTCCAGCCTGCTGCCCCTCCCTCAGAAAGCACCAAGTTTTGGGGTGGTTTTCTGTGCAGCAATTGATAAGCCCTCCCCACACACTGGTAATGAACCCAAGCACTCGCACAAGCTGAGCAAGCGGCTGAGCTCCATTCCTTTATCAAGGGACTTGTTCCGTATGACTTGATTAAGAATGCTGCGGTTATTCTGCTTACCATGAAAGCTGTTAATTCACAGTAATTTTTTGCCTTTCCACCTTCACTTTCAGGAAGCTAGGACCCCTTTGTACTCATTTTGAGCTTCTTCTAAGACTTTATTTTGTGTTGGTATAGTCGTCCTCTCCTCCACTTCTGTCAACTGGCCTTTCCTTCCCGCTCCTGGGAGGAATGTTTTACTCTGTTGTACTTTGAGGCTGATAGGTGTCCAGGCATCTCATTAAGTGCCGTTTCAAATCCTTTGGGAGAGAGGTAAAGTAAAAGCTAGAGATACATTTGCACAACAAAGATAGTGAAGTGAATAGTATTGTGGATATGAGCATGAATTTGAAGATGCACATGGCTCTGAATCTTGGCTTTTCCCTTACTAGAGATGCCGGGAATGCTGTTTTACATCTCTGAACCTCAGTTTTCTCATATGTTGAATGGGAATAATAGCTACATTATAGGGTTATAAAAGTAAACTGAGGCAATATTTGTAGAGCACTTATCATGGTAAAAACTTTATAAATAATTAAGAGGAGATCAATTAATTTGGAGCACCATCATTTGAGTTTATTGAAGCTTCCTCAGGATTAGATTCAAGCTTTGGACTTTTTTGAGGGGTGGTGGTATTGGGGAGTGAGCACAGGAACTTCATACTGAACTACATCCCCAGTCCTGTTTTAATTTTTATTGAGACAGAGTTTCACTGGGTCACAAAGTTGCCCAAGCTAGGCTTGAGTTTGTGATCTTTCTCTCTCAGCCTCCTACCCCTTGATTACAGGTGTGTGCAACCATTGTTGATTTGAGTTTTGGATTTTTATCATGAATATTTTAAAGCCAATGCTTGTCTCAATGCATCACACCAAGAGAGGCTTGGTGTCAATTTATGCCATGATCCTTCACGTTAATTTTTTCTTCTTTTTTTTTTTTGGTACTGGGGATAGAACTCAGGACCTTGCATTTGCAAGGCAGGCACAGTGCCACTGAGCTAAATCTCTGGTCTCCTTCAGGTTAACTTTGATCATTTGGATGAGGTGGTGTTTGCTAGGTTTCTCCACTGGGGAGTTAAAATTTTCCCATTCACATTTAATTGGTAACTTGAAGAGAGATTGTATGAGACACAGTAAATCTGCTGCTCTTCACCAAATTTTTACCAACCAGTTTTAGCATCCACTGATGATTTTTTCCTGAGCCAGTCAGTACTACGATTCTTTTTTTTCTCTCATTGAGTTTATTGGTACATTTTAGGTACACAGTACAGTTACATTCATCATTGGGATCTTGTACCTTTACATGACAGGCCTTGGTTCTCATTTTTCAGTAATATGATTATTGAGGCCAAAAGTTAACTTATTACATAGACATAGAGATTTATAAATTCTGCACTGAGACTGTTTCAGAAACTTAAAATTCAGACTTTTTATTGTCTAAGACTGACCAGATAAGTTACAGGGCTTGTTTTTGGATTTGATTTATCCCTATAGAACAGTGGAGAAAAGATAGTTGTTTTGCTGGGATAATCTCTGAGTCCCATCTCTTCAGTGTGTCAGCCACACACACACACACACACACACACACACACACACACACAATATGACATGATAATAATGTCTGCTTCTTAGGTTTTTGAGGAAGGTGAGGTAATGCAAGTAAAATGCCAGGCACAGTGTTAAGTACATTAATAAATTCTCAGTCAGTGTAATTATTATTGTTCCCATTATCATTAAGTAAAAAATTATTAGCCTGAATAGAAGTAAGAGGAGGTATTCCTTTTTTCTTTTCAGCACATAGGGGAGGTGAGAGCAGAGCTGATGCCCAGCCAGGGTGTGGACCCAGGGAACCCGGTTTCACCAGACACAGCAGTGCACTTGTTATGGTTTGGGACAGGAAGTCCCCCTAAAGCCTCATGCAGTCATAGGTGACTTTTTCAGAGGTGGCTGAATATAGAGTGAGTGATGCTGGGATTAAGGGCATGTGATTACTAAACCAGTAGGCTGTTTGGTTTGGCACCACTCTAACCCTGGTAGTCTGAATAAGATAAAAGGGGCAGAAAGGTGTGGTTAAGGTTCCCTTGTTGTTTGTTTTTTTTTTTTTTTTTTAAGACAGGGTCTTGCTATGTAGTTGAGACTGACCTGGAACTATGTAGCCCAGGCTGGTCTCGAACTCAGCGATCCTCCTGCCTCAGCCTCCTGAGTGCTGGTATTACAGACATGCACCACCACGACTGGCTTTTTTTGTTGTTTTTGTTAACTTCTGGCCACTGTGAACTGTTTTTCCTCTTCACAACCTGTCTGCTATGCCACCCTTCCTTGGAGCCAGCCGAATATGGACTGAAACCTCTACAAACTATGAGCTACATAAAGCTTCCCCCTTTAACTTTGGGTGTTGGGTATTTTAACTCAGCAACAAGAAAATTAACTAAGGCAGGGCTCAACAAATCAGATTATTATCACAGTTCACTGTCATAGGATCCTTATTCTTCCAGAATATGAGGCTGTTCCTCCCTATACACAGGAACCCACCACCTTAGCCCAGATGCATCGAGAGGCTTCTATTCAGGAACTTAGCTTCCAGAAGTGAAGCCCACAGCTGCCCTGACATCAGAGCTAAGTTGGAAAAACATGTTTACTGGGCAGGGAGTCTGCTGCCCCAAGGATCAGATTGCTGCCCACAGCAGTGAACTCATGGGCCAGAGTTTGCTGAGCTGGTCTTTTCTGTCACACACACAAGGACAGAAATGCTGCAGGAAGAGATCAGTGTTCCAACAAGTCCCACCAGCTTCAGTCTCACATTACCCCAAAACCATCTGCCCAGCAAAAGGAGTCCAGGAGCTTGTGGTCACCCCTGGCACCTTTGGTCCCTGCTCCCAACCTATTCACAGAAAGCACTCAATGAACTGTTTACAAGAGCCCCAAAGCTCCAGAGAAAGAAAGACTACGGAAAGGACAAAAGGATAGAAACAGCCAGGCCCAGAGGCCAGAGTTTCCAGGTTGAGTACGAGTACAGGCAGCCCTGATTATCCATTCCTAAAAGTGTCCAGAAGTACCTCTGGCGTAAGCCCACAAGAGGCCTTGTTCATTCATCCGGGTCAAGCTTCTAGGGTGTGTAAGACTTAAAGTCTCACTTTTACTCCTGGAGTGTGAACAGCCAAGAGACCTCCATGATGCTGAGCCCAAAAGCTCAGTGAGGCTCCAGGAGCTTATCAGACAGCAAGAGTCACCCAGGAAGGAATACACCAGGCAGGTTGGCAAATAGACCTTCACTAGTCTGGCCAGACGGCACTCCCCAAGCCAGGTAGCTCAGAGAGGCAGCTAGCTCAGAAACAGAGGCCATTTTATATGGGGCTAAGGGGGGAGTTTACACTCAAAACTTACAGGAAGGGGACAAAGGCAAGTGGTCATCAATCCTACACTCAACCATTACGTACTAATGATCAGCAGATCGATTATCCATTGTTCTATTTACAACTTAGATTGAGGTGTTCAGAACATTCAATTACCAGCAAGTAAGGAGTGGCGTGATTGATTTTGGGTCTCTATGCTTGTTACAGTTTCCATCTAGTTTCCCAGCTACTCCTAAGCAGTTACCTAATGACTCACAATTAATCATTACTTATCCTATGAGGGGTGGGGGGAACAACAGTCTTTGGGTCATTTGCTGGTCAACATGGAGTCACTCTAGTTGTTAGGTTCTTACAGGTGCTATGGTCCACAAGTGAAAACTAGCAGGCTATATAGGCTGAACAGTAGGAATCAGAAAGGATCAGTCATTCCTTCTTTTTTTTTTTCTTCTTGGTATGGGGGATCAAACTCAGGACCTTGTGCTTGTGAGGCAGGTGGTGGCACCACTGAGATAAATTCCTGGCCCATGGACCTATCATTCCTTAATTCTAGCAGTACATATGCATTTTACACATTAATAAGATTTTTTGGTTTTGGTACTGGATATCAAACTCAGGACCTTTCACTTGCCAGGCAGGCGTGGTACCACTGAGCTACATTGCAGGTATTAACAAGATAATTTAGTTTATTTATCTCTCTTTTAAAAATTATTTATCTCAGCCAGGCGTGGTGGCGCACACCTGTAATCCCAGCACTCAGGAGGCTGAGGCAGGAGGATTGCTGTGGGTTCGAGACCAGCCTGAGCTACATAGTGAGTTCCAGGTCAGTCTCAACTACATAGTGAGACCCTGTCTCAAAAAACCAAAAAAAAAAACAAAAAAAAAAACAAAAGCCAATTATTTATCTCTTTTTTGAGACAAGGCCTATGTCATCCTGGGTTGGGGATATAGCTCAGTAATACAGTACCTGCCCTGCAAGTGCAAGGCCCTGGGTTTGATTTCCAGTACCAAAAAAGAAAAATGGAAAAAAAATTGTCCAGGTTGGCTTTGAACTCCTGGTTCAAGCAATACTCTCGCCCCAGTCTTCTGAGTAGCTGGAACTACAAGTACCCACTGCTGAGTCAGCTAACTACAAATTTAAGAAAACCTATAGTATTTATGGCTCTGAAAGAGAAAGGATGTTTATAGGATATCTTCCATTCATTTCCGGTTGCTTTTCAGTTTAGGAGGAACAAACACAACTGGGGTATGTTGGAAAGGCAGTGAGCCCATGGGAAGAGGACGAAAGACCATATTCCACAAGAGGGAAATGGAAGATTATTACTTTACATGGTAGTTACCAAATAAATGGTCATGCCAGGCATGATTACACATAGCTCAATTCCCAGATACTTGGGAGGCTGAGGCAGGAGGATTAAGTTTGAGGCCAGCCTGGGCAACTTAGACTATCTTTCAAAATAAAATTTTAATAAGGGCTGGGGATATAGTTTAGTGTTCCTTAGGTTCAATCACCAGTAGTGGGAGGAAAAAAAAAGCAAGAGAGAAAAGAAGTGGAAATAAGAAATAAATTTCTTCCATCCTAACATTCATGGCCCTTTGTGTTCTGACTTTGTCATTTCTTCCAAGAGTTGGAGTCTATTTTTCTACCCTCTTTAATCTGAGCTGGCCTGTTTGGTTTCAGCAGCTTTGTCTCTATGGCAGTTCTTAGTCTAGATTTAGAAGTCCTCGTATATTCTGCTTTTTCTATGCTGACACTATTGGTAAGGAAGTCTAAACTCCTCAGGAACAAAAGACCACGAAAAGAGGGAGGCCAAATTGACAAGGAGAAGCCATCTAACATGTGAGCTGTCAGATGACTACAGCTGCATCACTGATTCCAAGGAAGACCAGAAGAATGACAGCTGAGCTCACTCC